AAGGTCCACCGCCCCTCCGCCGGTCTGCACGTGCCGGTCGAAGGGAACCTCGGCTCCTCTCGGCTCCGCTCGGCTCCGCTCGGCTCCGCTCGGCCCCTCTCGGCTCCTCTCGGCTCTATCTCTCGCCGGTCTGCAAGTGGCGGCCGTAGAAGGGAAGCCCGAGCGTCACCTGCGGGTTAGGGTTAGGGTTAGGGTTAGGGTTAGGGTTAGGGTTAGGGTTAGTAGAAGGGAAGCCCGAGCGTCACCTGCGGGTGCGGAGGGTGCGGGGTTGACCCTCCGAGACGCTTCCGAGTCGCCTCCCCAAGGACGCCGCGCCTTGGAGGGAGGCAGCAGCTCGACCGCCTGCGCCGCAACCTTCTCCGCGAATTCGTACGTGCTGTGCCTGCCGGACTGGTCGTACGCCTGCGGGACGGGCGGAGAGGGGCGGTGGCGGCACGCCCGCAGCCGCCCGAGGTTCTGCGCGGTGCGAGCAGTGCCAGGAAGAGAGCAGTGCCTGGGCGTGTCGCGGGTGTGTCGGGGCCGGTGCGCCATCGCGTGCATCGCGTCGACGTGCTCCGACATGACGCCGAGCATCCTCTCCTGCAGGAAGGTTCCGAGAAGGCTCCGAGAAGGATCAGGGTGGCCCGGCATGAGGCCGAGCATCGTCTCCTGCTTCCTGTCCGGGTAGTACGCCTGTTCACACCACCACCAGCGGTAAAGAGAAGCAGCACCGACACCTCCATGTCTCATGCGGCGGTGGCCAGCGTCACGACTCGGCCAGAGGCAGCAAACGCCTGACGGAGCGAGCGGGCTCGACTCGGCGGCTGCGGATTGCGTGTGTCGCCGTCCCGTGTCGCCGTCCCGTGCCACCCCGTGCGTGGACCGTCCTCGACTGCCCGTGAGCGTGCGGTGCGGGCCCGGCGGCGTCCCTTCCTGGGGCCACGTGCACGTGTCTGTCTCTGCGCAGTGGTGTGCCTCCCGAGTCTCAATCAGCAGGTACTGGAGGCCGTGGTAGTCGCGGGCGACATCGTCCTCGGACTTGTAGCCGGAGCCAAAGGCGAAGCCAGGGTACTCCCAGTTGTAGTCGACGCCGTCGAAGCCCGCCTTTTCGCACAGCCGCAGCAGCGCAGAGATGAATCGCCTTCGCGACTTGCGGCTCGAGACGGCGGCCGAGAAGCCGCCGGAGCGGCCATTTCCTCCGACGCAGAGGAGCATTCGTTTGCAGTGCGGCCGCGCCTCGCGCACCAGCGACAGGCGCGGCAGCCGGTCCAGAGCGGCGAGCGTCCCATTTCCATGCACCTCTATCGAGAAGAAGATTAGCATGTTGACGGTCCTGCAGATGCGCTCATAGTTGGCGCTGTCGAATCGCCACTCGGGCAAGTAGGCGGCGACGGTGAAGGGAGGCGGCTCGGAGGAGGAGTGTGTGAGGAGCGAGAGGAGCAGCACTGACATCATGTATGTCTCCACCAGTGGAGGGATGGGAGAACGTCACGCCGCCCAACACCGCTGCGGGCGCTTACTTTCTTTTCTCCCGCCACCCCTCTCCGCCACCACCATCCCCACCACCGCCCTCTCCACCTCCACCAAGCTCTCCGCCCTCACCTCCGCCTCCCTCTCCGCCACCACCATCTCCGCCGCCGCCCTTTCCGCCATCGCCCTCTCCGCCGCCACCCTCTCCGCCTCCCCCGTCGCCGCCGCCGCCCTCTCCTCCTCCAGCAAGCCCTCCTCCCTCGCCCCCGCCTCCCTCTCCACCGCCGCCGTCCCCTCCACCGCCTTCACCGCCGCCGCCCTCTCCTTTGCCGCCCTCTCCACCACTCTCCTTCGCCGCCCTCCCCTCCGCCACCAGGCCCTCCCCCCTCGCCGTCACCGCCACCGCCACCGCCACCCTCTCCGCCTCCGCCCTCTCCGCCGCCACCCTCTCCGCCTCCGCCCTCACCGCCGCCACCGTCCCCACCACCTCCCCCTCCGCCGCCCCGAGGATACCTCTGGGCCATGCCTGTGATCAACCTCATCGACAGTAGTGATGAAAGCGATGAGAGGATCAGGTGCCAGCGGCAGCCCAGCAGCCACCGCCGCCCGCGGCAGCCCAGCAGCCACTGCCGCCCGCAGCAGCCCAGCAGCCGTCGCCACCAAGCCCTCCGCCCTCACCTCCGCCTCCCTCTCCGCCGCCACCCTCTTCGCCATCGCCCTCTCCGCCGCCACCCTCTCCACCTCCTCCGTCGCCGCCGGTCGCCTCTCCTCCT